CAACCTGGCCTGGAACCCTTCCAGGGAGGGGGCAGCCACAGCTGCTCTGGGCAACCTGGGCCAGGGTCTCACCACCCACAGAGTAAAGATTTCTTCCTTACATCTAAACTAAATCTACCCTCTTTCAGTTTAAAACCATTACCCCTCATCCTATCACTACCGTCCCCACCTTTCCTGCAGGCCCCCTTTAAGCACTGGCAGGCCGCTGTCAGGTCTCCCCGGAGCCTCCTCTTCTCCAGGCTGAACAACCCCAACTCTCTCAGCCTGCCCTCATGGGGTAGATGCTCCTGCCCCCTGATCATCTTCGCCACCTTCCTCTGCCTTCTTCCTCATGTCTTTCTTACACTGGGGGCCCCAGAGCTGGACACAGCACTGCAGGTGGGGTCTCACAAGAGCAGAGCAGAGGGGGAGAATCCCCTCCCTCGACCTGCTGGCCACACTGCTCTTGATGCAGCCCAGCTTGCAGTTGGCTTTCTGGGCTGTGAGCGCACACTGCTGGCTCACGGTCAGTTTTCCATCCACTAATACCCCCAAGTCCTTCTCCGCAGGGCTGCTCTCAATCCATTCATTGCCCAGCCTGTATCTGTGCTTGGGATTGCCCTGACCCATGTGCAGGACCTTGCACTTGGCCCTGTTGAACTTCATGAGGTTTGTATGGGCCCACCTCTCCATATTATTACACAGTAAATGAAATGCCTATGAAAGTTCTTGATATGCTTGAATTAAAATATTTTACATGATCTTTGGACATTCACAGAACTTAATCTTCCATGAACAGAAGGCTTGTACTCTGCCTTGAGCAACATTTAGCATCTACCTTTAAAAGTAGCTTGCCTGGGAAGATGCAGCTAAGCCTCTGTACCTTTCCTTACTACTTTTGCACATGCTGCCGTAGAAACCAGCTGGTTGTACTGAAATTTGGATTATGTTGAAATGTAAGAAATGGAGCTTAACACAAATGCAGGTAGGGACTGCAGTTCCTTCTTAACCGGGTGTGTGCGGAGGTGTAAGAAAGGTGGCTGTGAAGCGGAGAAGGTATTAACTGAATCCTGAGCACATGGGGAAAAAACTTGTATACATCCTGAAGAAGTCAATCCTTAAAGTAAGGTATAGTGAGAAATGGGTACAAGAAGGAAAATTATAGAGGACCGTACTGAAAACATTCCAAGTTGCCAACCCTAATTAATGTTTGTGAAACTCCTGACTGTTGCCATGGCAATAAATGTGATACTACAAATGCAGCATTCTGACTTCTTCACAGGATCAAGCGAAGTTGGAAAGGAGCAAATCCCTGTGTAAACATCGATATCGTCAATTAATTAGGAAACACAGCAAGATAAATAATAAGACCCCATGAAAGGTAAATTAATTTCTGTTTTCTGTCTGCTACGTTTGAAAGTTTCCCCGATATCAAGCCATCTCTGCAATTCACTTTCATTCTACAGAAGTGCTTAATCACGAACCACAGTGGAAGTTACCGTGGAGGGAGATTTTTAATACATTACTTAGCAGGTTAAAGACTTTGGGTTATTTGAGATATTTCAGCGACATGCGCACATTTCTTTCTTTAAATGCCATTTAGCTTGCTTGCTTATTTATTTATTTGAGATAAAATTCTACCTAAACAAGCCCAGTTATCTGTTCTTTTAAGAAAAATTGATAATCTAAAACAGAGAAGATCATCTTGAATGTCATCACACGGCACATACAGGACAACCAGGTGATTAGACCTAGTCAGCATACGTTTATGAAAGGCACCTCCTGTCCTGGTTGACTAACCTGATCTCCTTCAATGACAAGGTGACCCACTTAGTGGAAGAGTGAAAACTGTGGATAATGTTTACCTGGACTTCAGTAAAGCCTTTGACACCATTTCCCACAGCATTCTGGACAAACTGGCTGCTCATGTCTTGGACAGATGTACTCTTCGCTGAGAAAAAAACTAGCTGCATGGCTGACCCCATGGAGTGGTGGTCAATGGAGTTAAATCCAGTTGGTGGCCAGTCACAAGTGGTGTTCCTCAGGGGTCAGTACTGGGGCCAGTTCTGTTTAATATCTTTATCAATGATCTGGACAAGGGGATTGAGTGCACCCACAGTAAGTTTGCAGATGACACCAAGTTGGGCAGAGGTGTTGGTCTGCTTGAGGGTAGTAAGGCTCTACAGAGGGATCTGGACAGGCTGGATCGATGGCCTGAGGCCAGTTATATGAGGTTCAACAAAGCTGAGTGCTGGGTCCTGCACTTGGGTCACAGCAACCCCACACAACACTACAGGCTTGGGGAAGAGTGGCTGGAAAGCTGCCTGGTGGAAAAGGAGTTGGAGGTGTTGGTCAACAGCTGGCTGAATATGATCCAGCAGTGTGCCCAGGTGGCCAAGAAGGCCAATAGCACCCTGGCTTGTATCAGAAATAGTATGGCCAGCAGGACTAGGGAAGTGATCGTCCCCCTGTACTCGGCACTGGTGAGGCCTCACCTCAAATACTGTGTTCAGTTTTGGGCCCTCACTACAAGAAAGGCGTATACATAATATCTATTTACAGCTGGAATCCCATCAACTTCTTTAATGAAAATCCTTGCTTTTGTGAGTTTCGTTCAGAATCTTGATCTTGTTTGACTTTCACAGACATGTCACATCTTCCTGTAATCAAAATTCTTCTGTAACCAAATGCAGCCAGAACATTCCATATTATGAATATAAAAGTAAAGGTGACTAATGTTAAAAAAGAAAACAGAAGAAAAATTGCTAAAAGTGCTTCCAGATGGTAAACAGGTTTCTTTTTCTTTTATTTGACAAATCACTGTGTTGGTAATTTTCACAAAAGTAGGTCTGGAATACAGTTCTCATATATGTCTTCTGCTGATATGAATTTGATTAATTGACTACCCATTTCTTCAATTACTGCATCAGTAGTTTGGCATTTTTAAAAGTTAATCTTTTTTATCCATTAGTAATTATTGTTTAATCCATATCTTGCAATATTCCTAATGGTCAGTTTCATTAATTTAATAAAGAACAGCTAAATATCCCTTTTCTAAATACTGCCCTTTTCATATCACAGCTTAGTTCCAGGCATGTGATTGACAAGGATTTTGAATAGTCTCATGGATGACTTAAATACACAGGATAAACAAGATCAGTTTGAATACATGGGTTATTTTGAATTTTTCAATGCTTTTATCATGTTTGCATAAAATTTGTTACAGCGGCAGCATAAATTGCCCAGGGAAAGAAAAGAAAAACAAAGTAAGAGCATTTACTGGACACTAGCTCAATAAACAATAGGGTTTATTCCCAACTCTGTGACTGAAATGCTGTATGCCCTTGGGCACAGCATGCTACTCCTTTTTTCCTGTGTTGCTCCTCTTTCTTTTTCCGTTGTCTATTTGGACTGGAGCTTCTCCTGGGTGGGTACTGGAGGTGCTAATTAGGGTAGATAGCAAAATGGGGTCCTGATCTCTGTTGTGGCCTCTAGGTGTTGCTATAATACAAATAATTAATCAAAAGACATGTTTCACAGTGTCCATAGAGGGAGTTGCCAATTTTTGTCAGAGCCATGCTTAATTTTATACAAGTAAACCTCTCTCTCTCCCCTTCCCTCTGCAACATAACTGAAATTTTAGCTTTGTATATTGGACAAATGAACCTAAACGTGAAAAGTAAAAGTAGAAAAGCTGTAGAAAGAGATTTGACTTGCCTCTAGTTAAAGTTGCTCATTTTGGGGTGCCTTGGTGCCAGCCTCCTGTCCAAGGATGGTCTATTAGAGGAACCTGCTATTATATTCCTGACTCAGCCCAGCCTTCCACTGCCAGAATCAGTCATCGGGCATCACATCCCCTTGCAAAGACTCCGCCACTGATGTGGTTTAGGAATAAAAGCACATAAGACACACATAAGGGCACAAGTGCAGGTGATCTAGATCCAGTTCTGTTCCCATGTCTAAGGACACAACATATGGCCCCTGAAGTATTTACAAATTGAGACGCCTTTGAGTTTAGTGAGGATAAACTTTGTCTTGTAGGGTGAAAATTCAGACCCTGGTGCAGGTTGGTCACAATATCTGCATGTTTTGCCTAACAAGGGACTATTATGAAAAACTCACTGCCATTTTCATTAACAGCTTTAAGATTCTTAGCTTCACTTTAAAAATAAGGCATAGGGAAAAAGCAACAAATGATTTAGAACAGTTTGAGCAACCTTTTGTTTTGTCACATTTCCAAAGACAGAGCTACCGATCCTGCAGCCTGCCACAGCACATCATTTGATTTAACCTCCAGGCGAGCAGTTCCTGCACAAGAACAGTTCTTGCGGAGGTGTGCTGGAGCCATCGGTACTTACGGCGATACCTGGAATAGTGGCAGATGCCTCTCAGAACTGGATTTGTTGAAAATGCATTTGTAGCTAAATAGTTTTGTCTGGCAGGGGAATAAGCAATCCCTCCTGCAAAGCAGAGGCACGGGAGGGAGAGGAACTGGATGCACGTTTACAGAAAATTCTGCAGGTGCCTGCTGGAGTGGTATCTTACCAGGATTTACTGACACAAAGGGGCAGGAGATAGCATCAGGACTCTGCGCTCTTTCTATCCAGATATAGGTGCTATGGGACCAGGACCCCTATAGCCATCCCCTCCCTCCCTTGTGGCCATTATCATCTGTGAGTTAATGACCATCCCTTCCTGGCACGGAGAAGTACAGTGAGGGACAGGTAGTCTCTCTGCTCGGGGCCGTATGTAGTTCAACCTCTGGGACAACCATGGTCCAGCTCTCAGTATCTAATTGAGATTGCATAACCAGATACTGCAGGTCTTATTGTATTTATATAAAAGCTTTTTTAATCAAAAGACTAGTCATTAAATTGCCAGTGTTCTTAAGCATGCTTCGCCAATTTTTCCACTTTTAAGACTCAAGTAGACAATTTTTTTAATGTTTTATAAATGATAAAAAATTCACATCAGGTTTTAACAGAATTAAGCATACTTATTCAACACACATGGGGCCTCTGAAAAAAAATGTTATTCAATTTAATAATTTTAATTTACATTGTATATGTACAAGAGCATTTCTTTCAACCCACAGGTTAACACCACCAAAAAAAAAAAAAAAGAAGGAAAGAAAAAAGAAAAAGAAGAAAAGTACTGCGGTTAGCGGAGTGAAGAAACTCTTGAAACACTGTTGTCTGAAATAAAAGCAAGGCACTCTCCCTTAACACCTGATATATTCCTGAATTCTGCCTAGACAAAGGCATGTTCACACTGAGAGAGCTCTAAGAAAAGTAGTATATTTATTCTAGATTAACTGTTTCTTTTACCACTGTGACCTGTCACTGGTTGCACTCTAGGACAAATCTGTGTATTGAAGTTGACATGAAGGACAATTCCACAGATGATGGGATTTGGGAGAGTATCACAGTTAAGACTATCTATGGAAGACTGGAGGACACCGGCTACGTGAAATCTCACATGGGGCTCTGGACCTGCTACCTCCCACTCACATTCCACTTAATAAATAAACCTTGCTCAACAAAAAAGCAATTTTACTATGCTGATTCGCCTGAAAATCCTTTGTGAGGGCCCACTCGCAAGAAGTGCCTGCAAGCCCTCATCTGGCTGGTGCTCAGCACCTGGCAGGATTTGTCCCTAGATAAAAGTCATTTCTCAAGGGACCTTGTGTCTGACACAAGGAGACAAAAGTAAACAAACATACTTTTGGATTTTGTGTCTGTATGTTTTTGTATGCGCACATGTGTGAATGTGTGTGTATATATATATATATACGTATATATATATATTTAGTATATACAAAAGCAAATTCAGTCAAAATATATTTGTCTTGCTGGTCAGGCTTGTTACAGCAACCTACAAGAAACATTAGCTTCTCTGATATTTAATTATGCTATTATGTTTGCACATAAGCTTAAAAGTCAATACAAAAAGCAATACTTTTCCAAATATTATCTGCAGGTAAACTGGAAATATTAACTATAGTGATTAGAAGTCTGTTTCCCTATTGACACTACTATAAATCTTGATATAAGAATAATTTTTTCATAAAAGCACATCCAAACATAGTAAGTGATAAAATACCAGATTACTATTTGAAAACCATACAGTGACTCGATATCTGGGTTATCCTTTGCAGCAATTAGGCAATTCATTTGGCATCTGTTTGATTGTATAATTTAATTTCCATATAAACAGCATAGTTTAAAAAAAGACAAAAGCTAGAATGTTTAAAGCTAACAAAAGATACAGTGACATCAGGTTGACATTCAAAAATTTCCTTAGCAAAATGATCAACAAAATTTTGACTTAATACAGTGCATATAAAGTTTTTTAGAACTAAACTTTTTAAATATTATTTGAATTTAGCAAAACATGAGCAAGATTTTAATATCAAAGTGCTAAACAGTACTGCCTTAGAAGTCACTGCAAATAAACTGTAAAATAACTCTGCTTGTGATTTGACAGATATTTTATATACAAATGGTTAATAAAAAGACACGCGCATACACACACGCACACAAATATAGGTATATACATATATATATATACACATTATATATATGTATATAGTTTTCCAACTGGTGTATCTGAGTCAGTGTGAACACCCCATTTAGTTATCATGTGTAACAGGGCTCCCATGAGCTGGCAGTCATTGCAATAAATACAGGCAAAGCCATTACAATATACCATGCATACAAACATTTATACAAATAAAGACACTATGCAACAAATTATTTCATATTAATATGGCATCAACAGTATAAACATACAAAAAGGAGTACGAACACGGAATGTTTAAACGCAGCCCACTATATCCTTCCTAGCACTTACATTCATACTATTTTACAAGACTTGCTTGTTCTTGAAAACCATCTTCTGTCTGTTTACTAACTAGTCGCTTATGTTAGAAGTCTAAAACTGAACTATCCCTGATGCTGACCCTGTATGCTCCAATCACTACTTACTCGGATTTCCTTTGCTGAGGAACAACTGAGCCACAATTGCTCCCGTGTCTTCCACATACATTTGTCAATAAGTCACGCTACATGGAATCAAGTTTGGAAAACTCTGTCAGGTAAGTTAGTGCATGTAATTTTCTCACTTGATTTCTTCCGTTTGTTTTCATAGTAAAATAAATTAGTTAATAAACAAGACTTAGTAAGACAGCACTTTAAAAAATTGCACTTGAACATGGGAGCTAACAGCCATTGTCATTTTGCTATATTTGATTTGTATGAAATGTTCAATTGAATGTACTTTGCTAAAAAAGTGAATTTTTCTTTAGATTGTGCTGATGTATGTGCCCTTGATACAGGAAGTATGCTAAAGGTATCCTCACAAAACACATACTACCCTGGCAAACAACTATTTGCTGTTCTTGTTTTCAAACACAGCTTCTACAATTTTATTCCTCATAGAACATGAGGTGTTAAACAACAGCTTTAAAACAGTCATGGTAACCTTTTACTGCTGCTGGGATAGCATTGTCCAAAAGTGCCATATTAGCCATTTAAAAAACCCAAATCACACAAAAGAAAACAAAGAACACAACCCCAAACCAGTAAGCCAGTAAGTTTCAGGCCTCAGGTTGTAAGGACAAAGCGCCAGAAAAGACCTCATTTTAGACTCGGAGCTGCTTTTCTGTTAAGTGAGGGCAGAAATGTTAGCTGTAAGTCACGATCCGTTTGCCTGCTCTGGTGGGCATTTGCCTTTCAGAAGGGTGGTTTGACTCAGAAGGGTAAGGTGTCCAGAAACAGCCTGTCGATAATGGAAGGGGCTGGCACCAAATCTTCCAGTTTCAGGTAAAAGATGCGCTGCAGTCCCAGTGTGCAGAGAGAACGCAAGTCAGCCAGAACACCCAGTACCTTCGGCTCTGCAGACTCAAGCGGTTGTCCTTTGTTTTGGCAACTGAAAGTTAAGTGATCTTTCAAACTGCTTGTGATCTTGTTGCATAGCTCTTCCACTTTCTTTGGTTCTTTTAATCCATGTCGTTCTGCAAAGCGAGAGAAAAAAACGCATCAGCATCCCTACCACAAATGGAGAGAACTAATTGTCTTCAGTGTAACCCAAATCTGGTACTCAAAGCAAAAAATGCTTTGAAAGCATAAGGTTTCTCAGAACAGCTGGGGTTATACAGTGCCAGTTAACCTTTCTGCCACACAAAATATGAAATGGCAAGTGCCCTTTTCTCTTTAGCTGCTAAAATAGGTGGCAGAGATACTCAATTATGATTGAAATTCTAGTACAAGGAGTGCAAGCATCCTGCGTATCTCGCATAATTTTCATGATATGAGACAGAATTAATTGGGTGATTTTCCAGCAAAACTATCACAGGAGGTGTTTTGGAGATTTCCGTGCTTCCCCACCAGTTGTGAATGCTCAATAACTATGGCAACCATTATTTATTCAGTGAATTCAAGTGGCGATCGATATCCTTAGCCAGCTCCATCAGCGCTGGGCCTAGAATTCCACCAGGAATTTGCAGACACTCTTATAAGAAACTAAAGGCACCTTACCACCCTTTGTTATTTTGATCAGCTGCTGCTTTTTAGTTTATTCATCTTTAAAAGGTCTAAGATAAAAGAAGCCTGGAAATTAACTGTTTTGCTTTGAGTGAGCAATGCCTAAAAGTGAGACGGCAGCTGTGTTGTCCATCCCCAAAACCTCAGCATTCCTAAAAGGAAGGAGAGCTGGGGTTTGTCCCACTTTGAATAGCCTTTTAAAATGCTACAATCAAGTTAAATGCATCCACAGTTCTTTAAGCATAAGTAGAATGAATCAGATTTGTGATTCATTAAAAGCAGGCTCTTTTTACTGGTACACGGGGAAAGATAATTTTGTGCTGTTTGCTATCAAGATTTAGTGGATAAATTCATATAACATTTCAGAACAAATAAATTTGTGATGTTTTGAGTTGCCTTTGACTTTGAAATTCACAGGTAAGTAAGAACTTGCTTAATAGCAAAGTCATAATCATTTACACATGAAATGGAATAACACCGGATAGGGCAGTCTAAGAAAATGCAGGTTAAATTAACTTTAACCAACTAGACATATAAAACCAGTGACAGCAGTGGATGAGGAGAGATTAATTGTGGCAGTTCTTGTGTTTGATGCATTTGAAGTCGTCTGCCTTTCCTGGCCCTCTCCTCCACCCCTGGCAGCCACAGGCCATATTGTACCCATTGCCCCCAAGTCTTGTTCCTCCAGGAGCAGTGAGCAATCGATACTTTCTCTGTCTGTCCCTTAATGATCAGTGGAAAGAGTACAGTTCTCTTTACTTCCAGAAGCAGGTGTAATGTCCACACAAGGCACAGCAGTGCCTTGCCCAGGCATGTCTATATAAACTCCTTGCTGCCTCCCCTCCCCTTACTGCCTGTTTTGACTAGATGTTCTTGACAAACGAATAAAACAGATGGGATTCAGTGAAGGCAGGCAGAAATGTAAAGGTCTGATTTTCCACTGGTATCACCCATTCTACACTTTTTTTTTCAACTTTATTTACTTAGGCAGAGCTAGCTCCTGAAGAATACTGGTTTGGGATCAGAATCAGAGATGTGCAGTTGTGTACCTCTCTGGCCAGAAGTTACTGTGCTCTGTCATATAAGTACCATCAATCTGCCCTGTTGCTCCAGAGCAACACTCATCGAAGAAGTAACATCTGCTTCAGACATCTTCTTCACCTTGCAGATATTAAAAACTCTAGGTATTCTAAGTGCCTTGTTTACATTAAAACACAAGGAGTCAATGAATATTTAAAGCCTTTTCAGTAAATGGTGTATAGTAATTATGTAAGCCTTAACTATACAGGTCACTGAGAGTAAACACTTTGGCAGATTCTGCCATTAAAAATCTTGGCGGATAAATATTTTATACAGGTTTGAGAAGCTGTAGGGTTTTGGTTTTTTTTAACCACTAGCCTACTGAGAGAATCTACAGGACATTAAATTAATCTTGCAGTCTTTGAAGAGTTCCCATCTTTTAATCTGTGTTGAAGCTGTTTCCTGGCTATGTAAGTGAAGATATTTTTATAAATCTAGGGAGCTGAAATACTAGAATGGATTTAAAACCTGACTACAAATTAGCAGAGGACATTTTTAAACCAATGCCTCAGTCAGCGTGTACCTTGCTGCAGAGTATGGAAAATTATCTCTGGCTTTGGAACACACAGCATTGTTGTTAACATTTCCAGCCAGAACTAAACAGTCTTTGTCTCACATTGACAAGTTCAAAAAGTTTCATGAACAAATCGTGTCTTTGGTGGCTGGCCATGAAACATATTGACGCAACACACAATATGTGCAAAAATTATAATATCAGTCGCCTTACTTTACATGACCAAATCACAGAGATTTGGAATTAAGAGATACTCCATCCTTAGCCTGCTCTCTGGTGCTGCAACATTAAAGCAGTCTCCCATAAACCCAACTTTCCTCTCCTGCATGAATTGCCATGCAATGGCCTTTGCTACTTGCAAATCTCTTCAAAGGTAACTCCTCATGACTTGAACTGCCTCAGGGGTTTTCAGTCTCCAATCCCTAAGGCATCCCTTGTGGACCCATAGAAAGTCACAGCCATCTGCGTGGAAGTCCTTCCACTAGTAAAGGGCACTGCATGCACTGGCACTGCCATCGCAGTCTCCAGTGTTAGCACCCAACTAGTTTCTGGGGAAGGTACTCGTACAAGAAACGGCTCCTCTCTTTGGTAGACTCAAGGAGTCTTGGGTCTGCTTTACTCAAAGACTTAAATTTAATAGAGTTCAAATAGCAGGAAGCATATTTTCTTGCCTTTTCCACACAGCCAGTCTCAATTGCACAAAGACCTGCAGTCTTTCTTACTCAATCTAAAAGGAACAACACGAGGCACCTGTGGTAAGTGTGTGCACTGGCACCAAAACTGATGGCCTCTAATCGTTCACTGTCTTCCACAGGATGTTCTTATCCACAAGGGAATGAGTAAGGCCAGGATTTATCCCAAGAAGGACAGCTAGTCAAAACGGATAGATTTCCTCTAACTGATAGAGGAGGTAAATATTATTGTATTCAGACTTTCTTATAATGACAATTAAAAAGGCATGGGTAAAGTGAATATAGGATTTCTCAGCCTTGTGTTTTAGGATACCACTGATTTTTGCAAGAAAAATGGTGATTTATGGCGAAGATGCTCTCCATAAGCCTGTCAAAATGATTCGTCAAAGTCTTGCCTCTGAAGCTCTGCACACTTAGCAGCTCATCCTGGCAAACTGAACACAGCAAGTATTTTACACCTTTCTCCTTTTCCCAGGAATCTCAATGCGATTCTGTGCTATAATTATGCTGATCGGCAAAAAGTTGATAAGAAGAAATAAGAAGAGCAGGAAAAACATTTACCAGCTGTGCTAGTCCTTCTTCCCCTAATCTCTGACATGGGGTAAATTATGCCACAGCTAGGCAGACTGGGTGCTACCTTTATGAGAAACCCCTCTCAAAGAGCACGGGTATTTCAAAGACCTTGACTACCTCGAAGACCCCTAGGCTCTGTGCTCTGTGTCAGGGTGTGTCAGTTTTAGCCTTAATTCATTCTGAGTTGTTAGTTCAATCAGAAATGCAACAAGTTTGCACTGCATGCTTAAAACAAGCCTCTCGATTGTCTTGATTTCAATATAATTATATGATTTTCTCTTTCCCCTTCACAATCCTCTTCCCCTTCTATAACTCAGATAAACACACGGCTCGGTTGCCTACAGCTTTTTGCTTGTCTCGTGCACACTCTGTTACACAGCAAGATTGCAACTCAGCAGATCTAAGAGTCTCCTTTCCTATTGCAATCTGGCCCATATTCGTCCTGCCTAACCTTCAGGCCCTTCACAAGGGTGCCCAAGCTGGGAGCACGGACTCCTTGAGCTCTTCCTAACATCAGTGGAAGGATGGGCATTTTTAGGTGACAATTCAGATTTTAGGTGGGTGAGTCATCTTCTGGAGGTGCCCCGTATTTCTCCATCAGCTCTGCAAGGCACCTAAAGTCAGATGAGCTGACTGACCACACAGGACAGCACAGGTTGCTCCCTCCTTTAGGAACACCACAATGTAGCACAGAAGCCGCTGGTTGCTGTAGGAGGGAAGGGTTCTTGTCTCAGCAAAAGGGTGGGAGGGGAGAAGGAAGAGTGAATACTGCACTTCGATGCTGACAGTATTTCCCTCAGCAAAGTGGCGGGGGGAACGCAGACAATGCAATCTGGAGGTTGGGTTTTTTTTTATAACTGGCTCTCCTACACTCCCCCAGTCTGCCACCTGCTTGCATGTAGACCCAGCACATGAAGCACCCACTCCGGAGGATCCTGGCAACAGGACTGAAGGATAGCTGCTCTTGAAGAGTAGGTGAGCCGCCCTTCCACAGGGAAGTTGGACAAACCCATGTTCAGAAGGGAACTGCAGCAGCCAGGCCCTTTTTAGCTAGACTGGACTCCTTACTCTTTCTTGGTATGACTGCTGGTGCTAAAAATTGTGTTTGTAAACTGGAACGGAAAGCCCAACAGCAGGAAAACAAACACAAAATCATAATTAATTGAAACCTCACAGTATTCTTCAATGTTCTGGTGCCAGTCTAACAAAGCATTAAGAGTATGAATAACCCCAATATATACAGTGGTTCTGGGCTGGTCTGTAAAACACTTAAAATAAAACATATGCTGAAAGAGCTTGGCTGAATGAAGGCTAGAATGCTCTGTACTCAGCAGCATCCCACTGAGAGTGTCAAGTGGGCAAAACAATAATATTTTGATGTGGATAGAGAAAGGAAGAGGCAGAGACGAAAAGTGAATCAACAAGACAGAGAGAAAAATACTAGCAGTTTTAGAGCAGGAAGAAATTTGAGGCTAAATTAGAGTGTGCCCTTGAGATGATCTGCACTGGATTCTCAGTTTTTATATTTTCACACTGTTAGAAAAACTGTAAAGCAGAGCATTATAAATGGTCATTTGGGAAGTTAAAGAAGGATTTTCAAGACTACACTGAGATAATATCTGGTCTACTGTGTAAAACTTCACCAGCAGCACTATCCAGTCCAGCATAGAGTGGCTGTGCAGGAACACTTGTGATCCATGCAACACCCTAAACTGATAGAAATCATTCATGTGGAACTAAGGACAGAACTTGTCCCAAGATGACCAGCATTTTCTTTCCATGTTGGCACTGTTCTTTAGCTCATTAGATCCTACATCCCAACAGAATAAGTGATCTAAAGAAAAAAAACAGGACAGAACCTTCATGGGGATGTGGGGTGAGTGTCGTGTGTTGTTTCCTAACTCATTTTTTCTGGCTGATGCTCCGAGCGCCATTGATGTGCTCTGGAGGAGGTTGTGTCCAGCCCTTCTTAACCAACTGAAGGAATTGAAAAAAGAGAAGAGAGACAGAGAGAGGAAGATCCTAAAGGAGTACCTTAAAGAAAAAAGATAAGCTTTGGCATTCCAGAGTTTTAAGTTAACTGTTTGCAAGCCACCCACAATAAACCAGATGTCACTTCTTTCATTCTGGGTGCTCTTTCAAGCTGATGTCCTATCTGACAGGACTTGAAAATTCAGCAGCAATCCGACACGATGCTTTTCCTTCTAAGCAACATGCCGCAAATTCCCAGGAAACATAAAATAAACAGAAAAAGCACAAATATACGGACTTTCTAATGGATTATACAATTCAAAATACCGCAGAATCTTTTCCTGTTAATTTTATGTTGTGCATACCTTTAGTTTTACTCAAAACAAGCAGTGAATTAGTGAATATTGTGATACTCACTAGGTCTCCTGTCATCCTCTTAAAAATCACTAAACAGAATAAATGGTCATACATGCCTATAACCATGCATCCTATACTGTGACCTGCAGCTGTGGCTGAGATAGGACATGGAGCTTTGCAGCTCCCAACAAGTCAGCAGGGTGAGTTAAAGGGCACTGGAACTACCGGGGCTGTTAATGGGGAGCCGATTTGACGTCCCAAAACTAGAGAACAGCCTTTAGTATCTTGGGACACTTGTAACAGTGGAATGTCTTTTAGCCACCAACACTAATTTTCACATTTATTCCCTCTTCCTTCACCGGGAGAGAGATGTTAGTTCTTTCTGTCACTCCTGCATAACAGAGAGAGAACATGCAAAAGTGAGTAGCGACTTCTCTCACTTTTCTCCTTCGGCAATTCTGCCAATGACTAGTGCACAGTAGGGTTTGTTTTCTAAGAGCACATCTTCATTTGAGCTATGGAGAGCATCATGAAATCAAGAACAAACATGTCATTGTTCCCAGGAGTGATTTTTTTTACCTGGAGAGACAATTCTTGAATTTGGTGCTACCTAGAATGCTGTACAGTATTAAAATAATCTATGACTATTATAGAACACTGGGTTGTTGTCTTTTTCTTTTTTTGGTTGAACCATCAAGTCATGAAAAGTTGACTAATGCAAAATAAGAACTGGAGCAGTTTGTGTAGTAATGAAGAAAATTTTGCTCAAGCCAGCATTTTGGTTTTGCCATGTTGCTAATTAAACAACTAGATTCACAAAACAGAGCTTTCCTGCTCCTTCCTATCTTGCAGCCTGGTGACACGGATATCCATCTGGCACATGAGAGATTCCTGGTCAGATTCCCTTCCTGTTGGAATCTGATCAGAGACTGGGCCTTGGGTGTCCCTCTGAGCACCAGCTTGTCCCCAGATCATCATACACAACAGCCAGTCAGCAGCCTGAGAAATATGTCAAATGGCCTCAACACAAAAGATCGTGATACTCAATAGTCGGATATCCTATGTTCCTGGAAAAGGTCGCTCTCTCTTGCTCTGACTGACAAAAAGGGCTTGAACCATGGCTAACTACCCATTGCCTCCAGCAGTCCATTACAGGAGAGAAGAGTACCTTCTCCACAGGTAAAGAATGGCACCTAAAACACTCACCTAAATCTAAGCCAAGTCTCAAAACAATGCTTAAAAATGTTCAACAGATTTCAGATTTCCAAAACTTATCTTTACTATTTTTTATCTTTTAGTGGGACTAGCTAAAAACGAGCACATTGCTTGTCATACTAAAACTGGAGGAAGAAGACAAGAAGCCATTTCCCATGGGATGCAATACCAGAGGCAAATCAAGGCTTTCCTGAATATAAAATTTCAATATATTATCACTGAGAAAGTCTCAAAAGAACCCTATTTGCCAGAATTTTGTGCTCTAGTGCTCTCTTAGCCATAACTACCTGATCTCCCCTTTCAGGTTTTCTTTATAATATCGTTCATCATTATACAATACCACCCATTTTCAGTGACCAAATTTCTGTCTGAGTCCCTCAGTTAGCTAGCTGCCCTTGAAGATCTGAAACCTGTGAATATAAATCACTAGACATAGGAGCTTTGGTCTAATTTAGATCGCATGAAAGTATACTCTGTCCTTAACATCAAATCTGCAGAAATGGCCTCATGAAATAAAGAAACAGGCAGAAAACTACATTAATTTTAAGCATCATCTCATACAGGTGAGAAAATCAAGAAAAGCTTGACAAATACAGAAACTGGTAAAGCTTTCATGGACAGAAATGCTTTCATTTTAAAGGCAACAGTTACTTCTATTTGTTTATAAACTTTCCAAAGACCAGCACAATGTATCCAACTCCTGAAAGGCTTGTTAACAAGGAAAGGAAGAAATGTGGAGTGTTATTAATTAAAGGACATTTCTGTGAAATATCTTAGGGTGACCTGAGCCAGCCATTGGACAACTTTGACTCTTTATGTAAGGGCAACCAAATGCTGCCTAACTGAACAAAGAGCTGTCATGTCAAAACAGGGCATGGGTTGTAAGGAGAAAAACTTTTCTTCCTATAGAACAACTTTTCTACATTCATCTAGACAGTTTGCAAGGGATCCTATTCATTGACCTGCATCCTTTCAGTCAGTTCTCTCCTCATTCTTGTCAGAAAGATAATACAGAACGAGATCTGTCTATCTGTGTCTACCTAAAAATGACATACCTACTATATAGAAAATAACCTAAACCAATGATAGGTGCTATAAATATGTGAGGTCATTTAATTAGGCTTTTCTGGGAATTCAGCAAATATTTTGAATGTTTTTGTAGGAGCTACACAATTTGATTGGAAGTGGTTTGCTTTTTAGAAACTATTCCAAGAAAACAATTAAACCATGAAGAACCATGAACCATGAGAGTTAGATTAGATTTTAACAGGGGTATCTGATGGCCTAATGTTAGTCCGCAATTTTGGTATGGTCGTTGCAATGTTTAAAAACCATACTCACTTTACGCAGAATATAGCTAAGTTAACTGAAATTGTTTGAATCCACATTAAAGCAAAAGACTAGAGTCTGAAGCTTTCTATTAACAAAAGAGCACTTACCTGTAATCATAGTTAGAGCTGATAAACTTGCTAAGGCTGGGATATCAAGGTTAAGGCTCTTTAAGTTTAAGGAAAAGTCTTTAATAGAGTCGAGCCACTCCCCAAATCCACGAAGGCACTGAAGTCTATGAAGCACAAGTCCATTGCAGAATACAAACTTATCCTCAGCAGTATCAGACCTCAAATAAAAATAATTGAAAAAAAAATTATAAATGCATCTTCTACTTTACAGCAAAATGCATAGCCAGTATTGAAGTGTCTGTCATTTAAAATCCAAGGCATATTATCCTGAGACATATGTGGGCATTCACATTTGACAATATGCTTCTCCCTTGGGGCCAAAGCACAACAAACAAGCTTCTATGATTGCTTACTTGGTAGAGTTATAAGCCTGAGGTTAGCTGTAGCATGTGGTGTAGACTGTCTAATTAGTTAAGATTTTGGTCCTGCCCAAAGGCATAAACAGAGAAGACATTTTACATTAAATACTGTATGTTTGAATCAAAGGAATACTAAGTGTGTGCATTTTGAAATACAAAACTAATAATAACTGGAGAAAGAAGAGATTCTGAAACTCTCAGCATTTACTTAGTCTCATCTGCATTTTTAGATTGTAAAAATTGATAAGGAAAAACCAATGGAAAATACATGCGATAATGCACCACAATACACAAAACATCATAAACTCCTTTGTGTGAAAACCTGTGCATAAGAAATATATTACAAGCTCTCCTCTCCTTCCCCTCCCCATTGCCAATATCCCTGTTAAAAAAGGCATGCAAAGGTCATTTTCAGCCTAAAGAAACAAAGGCATAATTCATATCACCCGTTTGGAATTTTTCCAGTTCCTGAAAGTGTTTTTGGTAAAATGTCTTAACTAGTGCTAGACTGATAAATAGCATCTCACTCTATTAAATGACTTGGTATTAAGAACAAAAACAATCTGAACAAGATTTTAGATCTTCTTTGTCCCTTTCAAAAACAGACTATGAAGATGTGCATGCACAAAAGAAGGGGGCAAAGGAAAAAGCTTCCATACTGAAGGCACTTTTTTGTAGTTTATGCTGATGTGTACGAAGCAAACTTGCTCAAATAGTACCTGAGGATTGATTTCGATTACTATGGAAGAAGAGGATGGGGTATATAAAATAAAAAGAAACACATTAGCAAGATCTATTCTCTATTTTTAAATCAATTCATTGGTTTTTCTGCAGTGTAAAACAAATTAAACATCATATCTGTAGGATGCAGACACTGCTGATGTTTTGTGGGTTTTTTTGGTACAATTGACAATGTTCAAAGACAGTGCCATATTTATTCCTTACAAATATTCAGATGGATGATTTTTCACATCATCTTAAGAGGAAATTAAATAAATAGTTACCTGATGGAGAGTCTTAGTACAAACAGCTCCAAAAAAGCTGATTCTATGAGTAATGTCTGATCTTCTTTTGGGAGGTCAGTAAATCCTGGGATTTTTTCTGCCCAGCCTCTAGTTATGTCAATGGAGGCAGTCAGAAGATTATAGAACTGTTGTACATGTTCTGCATCTGTGCCTGCAGCAGCCTGATCAGTGGAACAGTACTAAAATGAAAGCCACAGAAAGCAACGTTATATGCATTTAAGGGCATTCTGTGAAACACATGGCATTACTTGCCTGACAACATTCCCTTGTGTGGAAAAGATGGTATTATTATCAAAGACATAATAAGTAGGCCTACGTCTACCTACCTACTCGGCTATCTACAGGCATTTTGCTATTCAGATCTATACCGCAAAAATATTTCCACATGTATACAAATCATTTTAATTTTATAAATAAAATATAATACTTATCACATTTTACAAGTACCTATATGCTGTTAGTAAACAGAAACAGAAACCTGGTGGGCAGGATAATTTCCATCACACTAGATGAGGAATACTATTTAACTTGCTACAATTAAACACTTTTCCATTGATGAATTTGTCTCAGTACTTCCAAACCAGATTTCTACCAAAACCTCTCAAACTGCATTTTATCTGACAGTGATAGAGACACGTAAGATAAATCATGTTTTATCTGACACATGCAGCATTGCTTCATTTGAATACAGAATTGGTTCAGAGTAAAACAGCTGCCCCATATCACCTCTTATCCTTCAAATAGAAGCATTTAAGGTTCAGGAGAACCTATTATCCTGCTTATGCAGCCATAACTCTTCCAGACAACCGTTCGACAGGCTCAGCTTGTTCAGCTTCCCTGTGACCCTCTGACAGCTCCCTCCCCGCTATCTCCTGCTTCCTCACCAGTGGATCCCTGTCACTCCCGTGACACTGCTCTCTCTCTCTTGGCAGAAAATACAACAGGAGCTTTCGTGGCTTAGTCTGATTCTGCGCTTGGGAAGCGCTGCTGTTTTTCTGAGCAGGAACTGAATAATCTGGCATTTATTGTAACAACATCCTCGCCATCAGACAACTGGTGGGTTATTTCTGGGAGAGACCTCATACCCACTCTCTCTCTGGGACTCGGCCAAGGAAAGGTTGGGGTGGCCTCCATGGCTGAAAGAAGTGTGCATGTCCAAGTGTGCAAGTCCTCTGGAAGCAACTTTCCGCACGCAGTTAGGGCTTGAGTCCGCCAGCCTAAAGGTTTCCCTATTACCTCCCCAAGCCAGAGTAGAAGCAGAAAGACCCACATCTGTTTCCTGATCAGTAACAGTGGGCCAGCAGCCTGACAGGACCTTATTGCAGGCATGCCACTTGGGCTGCAGGTATCACCCACGTTGCAAACTGCAACCCAGAAGTCACCTCTATGCAGGAAAGCGAGGGGGGCAGCAAGCAAAACTTCTCAGGCAGGTGTCCTGTTCTCTGCCTGCCCTAGCTGGAGCTGGTTGCTGTTGGTGGGTAAGGGATGAAGGACACCTTGTCAGAGTCGCTGACTTATTGGAGAACCATAGCAATCCTTGAGATCTCTGGTCATAGCTGGGGTACCGGTGCTAGCCCTGAACAACTCTGTTCTGCTTACTCAACACTAACTGCACTAGTTTCTCGCAGTAAGCTCCAGCTCACATCCTTAGTCAGCTAGTGAAACATGTGCAATCCCTCTTGTAAAGCTTATGGGGAGACAAATTCTGCCCTCGCTACTCCGAAGGATCCCATGGCAGTGAAGCAGGTAGAGGCCAAAATATAGAGACGATGTAGAGCAGCAGTAGAAAAATCTGTATGCTGCATCATTTACATTTTCAGTCCCCCAACTGAATGGAGCAGTTGAGGATGCTCAAGCAGCATGAGCTCACTACTCCTGGCACCGGACTGCAGCAAGATGCGCCGAGGTGATTAGTGGGTAGAAAAAGATTATATGCTTTTTCAGAAACCTTGCATGTTCTGGACGCTCTTAAAATGAAGCTGCGGAGCAAGCCAAGAGAGTGTGCGTCTTGGCTCTGGGAGATGTGCTTTGCTGTGCAGGGGCTGACCTATGATTCCTTCTTTCTACACAGGGAAACCAAACAGGCTGATGGAAACTCCTGCTTCACCATAGGTATTGTTAGGGCAAGACACATTCTTGATCCTTTGAGCAGTGAAGGGGAGGGAAAAGAAAAGGAAAAGAAAAAGGATACTACCCTAAGTTCATTCTAAATATAATTCATCACAAGTCAGTGTAATTATGCCAGGTATTAATTTGTTCCCAATATTTATAAAGCTTTCCTTTGGCAAAAGTAAGGCAAAGTTTTAACATTTTCTAATGAAGTTGAATGCTGCATTATGTCACATAACTGTGAATGCTACAGTACAGCATACCCCACGTGGGGCACTTCATTAAATTAAATGCATCTAAAAAAATTATAACCTGTATTTGCTGTTATATTTTATCCCATGAGAGAAATTTTAGAAGAGAAGTAAAAAATCATATGGAATCGTGTAAATTTTAGCTGCTGTAATACATCACTGCTTGCTACAAAGAGTCAGCACTTACAAAGGATAGCTAAAAAAAAATATTGTTTACTCATAACAGACTTATGAGTATATAAATAACCCTAAACAATGTGTATTGTTCTGTTTTGTGCACCAGAACCTGTGGGTTTTTTCCGTGATTATTTCATTGAGAAGAGGCGATATTTGACCTAACTTCTGACCGAGACAGCTGGTAAGCCTGCCCTGGGTCAGGAGGCCATGGTACGGAAGGGCTCCGATCTGCATTTCTTAACCTGCCCTGCGCAAACTGGAGGCACGACGGGAGAAAGCCAGAAGACAAAACTCTGCCTTACCCCCTCACTCACAGCTCCTTCGGGACTTAAATGAAACCCGACTGTTACTCAAGGAGGGGGTTGCACGTGTAGCAAGCAACATTAACTTGTGTGGTATGTCTAAAGAGATTCAGAAAGCCTGACGGGGGGGAGCCTGATAGCGCAAACTAGCAGCACCCTTTGCCTTCTTTCATCAGACCTTCATCAACTGCTACAGCTGCAAAAGCCTAACAATAACTTCTCTGCACAGAGGAGAAGCTACGCTTGCTTTTCCAAAAGCCTCGTATTTGCTTAATTTTGTGGCTGGGGAAGGGGGGGGATTATTACCTAAATGCTGCACTCTCCCTCCAAAAAGGCAACATTTCTATTTAAGTTGGTGGCTATTCTGCATGAATGAGGACAGCAAGATAGAGGGTCTGATTCTCATCTCACTCAGAAATGTAAACTTGTGGAATTGTACCAGTAAAACAGGTGTGAGACCGGACTGCGGCCCTTGGCCTTTACGGAGTTCATAAACCAAATTCTCCTCCTAGCAATTGCTTTTTGAAAACAAGTACCTAAATATACCATTGCTGTGGACTGGTAAGTTAAAACCAGTGTTGAAATGAAAAGTAGCCATGTTGTGAATAGAACTGGTTCCAATCTGTTTTTGTTTAAAATTCATAGCTTATATAATTTATTTTTGGTTGTTTGTTGTTTCGGTTTTGGTTTTGTTTTGTTGGGTTTTTTTTTGTTGTTTTGTTTTTGTTTTTTTTTTTTTCTGTGTGTGTGTAGGTTTTTTTGGAGGGAAAGGGGACACATTCTTCTCTGAAACTCTTATCAATATTTTTAAGATGGTCAAGACATAATGGCTTGTAAACATGAAGACCATGCTAAACATTAAGGTCATGTCTGCAGAAGTGTTAGGACTGACTCCAAAGCCAGTTTCCAGATCTGCCCATTTGTGGTGCTCGTCTGGGTCACAGCCTAACCAAACATGCCATAAGTCAGTCTTTACAGGTACAGGATTATTCCTGAAAGGGATTTTTTAGCATTGCAGTGTGTTTATGGCATATTTCATTTAGTTTATCTCAGTTTTTACACAGCATTTGTTTCTGATCTCCCTTAACTTTTCAAAGTAAGTCTAAGGTTTTTGAAAAACATAAGAATCTATTAATTTTTTTTCAGGGTATCTCTGTTTTTTCAGTACTGCTGAGCATAACAGACTATTATATATTTTATTGTAAAGAAAAATTTAGATATTAATATGTCCTAACAGACAATCATACTTAATCTTTTAGCTACCAAGACTAAATTAATTTACTGTCAATCATGTCCTTCCTGTAATGTCAGAATTGTTTAACAATTAGATCTATGGGCTGTTTTCATTAAAAGAGAAATAATTACAAAGGACAAAGAAAAAAGTCACATAAAAATACACAGATTTCATTCATTTTTTTTTTGTAAATGCAAAAGAACTTTCTATCTATAAATAAATAAATACACATGGTTAGTTACTGCTTTCATGGCCTGAGCTATTATATGCCTGTAATTCTGTGAAACCCAGCAGATTTCTGTCAAAGAGCTCAGCTTGTCACACACCTCAGTATTTGCAGAATGACCCCCTGAGACATTCTGGGTAAGTTAAAATATGTGTAAATATGGCTAATGCATTCTCCCCTAAAAGGCTGTCGGATACTGAACAGCTATATTCTTAATAATAATTTGGAAAATTATATGATTGTGTACTTACAGATTAGTTTGAAGGAAAGATGTTACAGCTTGCTTAAAAATGTTAAATGATGCTATAGGTAAGTATAGTCTAAAGTAGAACAGTGCAATTTTTAGATAATTACAATCAAATATGTTTTAGTATTAAATATTACTTCACAACAAGTGATAAATGGCTGATGTAGATGTTGTCTGAGTACAGCTGTATTTTTTACAGTCTCGGATTTAATCATATTAAGGGGAGGGAATTTGATCTCCTTTTTCCTTAGCTGTATTTTTTTCTTTTCCTATATCAACCTGCCTAAAAATGTATTTAACAGGCCATTTCAATGCTGTATTTTAATAACTATAGAACAGGTTTTTAAGCTTTCAATATATTCTGTGAATATTTAAATGGTGAATATGATACATTAAAGAACAAGGATTCAAAAATATATAATCTCTGGTAAAGCTTTGCTGAGATAATTTCTTAGAATTTTGATTTTAAAAGCTTTGTTTTACAAATGTGAATTCTACTGAAGAGATATTCACGCTGGGGTATCCAAAGCCAGACCCTGGTCCCATTTAAATATTGGTAAAATTCCTATTGATTTCAACAGAAATAGCCCTATCCATCCAGTGTTAGTTTGCACAACCCTTATATCTGAATATTAGGGAAGTGCTACTAGATTTTAGCCTTCAGAAGCTGGAAATTAAGATACTGGACATATGAGTACAGCTCCTGAACTTGGTAGATTAATTGATTATATTGTAATTGCTAGTGTTTTGGCACAGCCTTTTTACAAGAATTCTCTCCTTATCCACACATTTTTGCTTTCACTCACCCATGGAGTATACTGCAGATAACTTTGTGATTGAGATCCTCATGATGAATAGTTACTAACACTAATTTCTACTGCACCTCCTTTCCCTTCATGGAAAGACATGGCTGGCTGGACAAATTTCTACCCGCATCCAAATTTCACATTTAATTTCATTTTTGCAAACCAGCTGGTAAGTAGAAATGCAGTTCACAAACCATTTCTATGTGGAAAACGAACAGACAAAGAAAAGTGAGACATACTCTTGAATAGTCAAGCTCCCTGGGCGTGGAGTCGGTTAAAGCTCGTACGAGGGCGTTCATCATGCTGATGGGAGGAGAAGGCGGGGAGGGCTGAGAGGGTTCTTGCTGTAAGGGGCTCTTTGGTTTGGAAGGCAGCCGACCTCTTCTCCCTTTCAGGCTGTCGGTACGGACAACTAGGTGGAGGGGGGGGGGAGAAAGAAGGGAATAATAAGTTGTGAAGATACCAGCAAAGGACAGATCAGAACAAACACCTGCTTTTCTTATGGTGGCCAGCCCGGCGAAAATAAGAGCATTCTCCAGTTTCAGCACGTGCTCTTGATGCCTTTGATTGCAAAGGAACACCAAAATTGCGTCAGACCTATGACCATTAGCAGCAACGTAGCCGCTGACTGAAAGCCCAGCTGTGTTCCTTAGTGTTCATGCTTTGTTTGCAGCACATCTACGTGCCCGTGTATGTGTGCCCATGCACACACACACACACACACACACACACATGCTCTACTGCTGAAAGGAACTGGAATCTGAAACACAAATTCTAATGTTCCTACTACCGGTGCACCTTTTATATGGCAGAGTCACTCATTCAAAGCAGTTTAGCTTTCTTGAAACATTTGAAAAAATATGGTCATGCTATGTAGGTTATATTATCCATGAAAGTATTTGCAATGGGACTGCTCACACGCTATTACTCACATACTTAAAATATTTGCAGAATTGGGACTAATGAGTTGATCCTTGTTTCCATTTACATTAATTGCAAATTTACAATCAGCTTACGGGAACAAGACAAGATCCTGTGTCAAAATGCACACAATCCAGTGCAGCCCCCGGTGAGATAACAGGGGGAAGCCAACAGCATTATTGAGCAACGTTCAAAGTTAATAAAGGAGACATTTTGGCCACTGTCAAATTATCCTCTTGTGACCTTGCTGCTCTTGAACTCTGGGGTCTAAAGTCTAAATATGATAATATGGGTGAAAAGAAGAAAATCAATACTTTATTACAAAATGAGCATATTTGGGGCTAAGTTATGAATCCCATCACTGTAAAATTCATTGTAAAGACATCCATGTCCACACATGCACACACAGAGATTCATTAAAAGTAGTATTTCAGTGTCTGGGATAATAATAGCAATAGTCCTTACCTTCTTTAACCATGCCGACACTGAGACACTTCTGAAACCGGCAGTATTGGCATCTGTTACGACGTCTCTTGTCCACTGGACAGTTTTTATTTGCCAGACAAACATATTTTGCATTTTTCTGAACTGTTCTCTGTGAAAATGCAACACAAAAATAGTAAACTGATCGTTTCTTCAACAACTTAGAACCTGACAAAATGTGTTTTAATTACAACATGAAAAGCGACAGTGCAATTCATATAATTAGATAAAATTAATTTCCTAACACACTAGCCTGCAGGAAAAACAATTTTATTAGTGTTAGCTGCTGACAATGAAAATCATCTAGGATTGTTCTGAAGCAAGTCTCTGGAGACAGGCAACTTTGAATGATAAAATCATATCTGAAATTACCAGGTCATCACATCTACCTTTGGGGATTAGATTATCTCCGCTTTTAATATCCCTTTGGGAACAATTTTCTACTTGGTTCATTCCCTTGATTATTGCTGACCTTATTAAAATAAAATCAAAATGATCTGCAATGTACTTCTCTTGCTATCGCTATTGTTAGTCAAATACCACAATAACTGGCTTGGTTAGCCATTAAAATCATCAGGGAGAAAAATAAAAATACCAGAAACCCCTACAAAATATGTTTAGTTAAATATTCTGGGAAAGCTAACCTGACTTGGGAAAAAAGCAGATAGAATTATACTGTAGTTATATACATTTAATTAACTCTAAAATGACCTTAAAATATACAGTCAATTGAAAAATTGTAAAAACCTGGTAAGCCTTGAGAGAATGTAACAAATAGTGATGCAAAAGTGTATTATGTGTTTCCATACTTAAAATCAAAGATACATCAATAAATAACTTAGCACCGAAAAAGAAAAAAAAAAGTAAGAAAGGTATCACAACAGGAACAAATTTATCAACTCAAAATTCAATATTAAATCTTTCACTGCAATTAAATTAATGGAGAAATCTTATTTCATAATTTGTGTTCCTTTTCAAATAACAGTCTCAATGTACTAAATATAAGAGACACAGCAAATATTGTCCATTGTGCTTTGGAGCTGAGAGCTGTTTAATTTTGCACAATAAGCTCTAGATACTGCTCCCAGTCAAGGATATGCTATTGATTTCCATAGGGGCAAGATTGGGCCCATAAAAGCTGCTATTTCCAGGTTGTGTTCCCTCTTCTAGTTATATTTAAAAAACAAATGAGTTTTACAGGAGATGTGTATTTTAGCATGTTGTCAAAGGATTATTCTTAACTAACATCAGCAGCTCCGTCTACAATTAAAAAAAAATGTTGTAAGCCCTTCCCTCAACTATTTTTGGACTATTTTCGTTGTTCCCATCGAATCTTTTACCAAAACAGGGGCGTGACTGCTATCTTTGCAGGAAGGAATATACCAAATCAACCCCAAAGGTATCAAATCTTAAACCTGCTGCCCAGAACCATCCTACCAAAAGTCTATCTGTCCTGAGTTCTTCACTTAAACAAGCTATTTCTGAAAATAATACTGGAATCGGAACTCAAGTCTGTTGAAAGGAAATTACGAAGCACCCAAACCGAAGAGCAGAAAGGGAGTAGTCAATTCTTAAAAATATAAGCACAAAGTTTCCACTGAGGCACTGCAGTATGCAAGTTATTCGTGTCGCTACTCAGCTGCAAAGCCTTCTCCGTTACAGAGCCGGCACCGGGACCCCGTGCACTGCTTAGTCACTGCTCTGCCAGCAGCTTGCCACTGGTGGGGGCTCGCTGGGCTCCTGAGCTGAAGAGTAACGACGGGGCAGCAACCAAATAAACACTGGAAGTGCTTGGGTCTGTCCCACGCGTGAAACCAGTTTCCTCCCGGTGCCGACCCCACAGCCCTCCTCACCCTAAGAGCACTTGATGATTTTAGGGTTTCTTTTCTCGCTGAAAAATGAGGTTTAATTGGAATGAGTGACTGCGTAAAACCCAGGTTGTAGGTTTTCCAGGTGAGTTTTGCTACGGAATAAACGCAGTTCATAGCTCAGACAGGGGTGAGCCATGCTCTGCTGAGGGATGCTGACAGGCCAGAGATGTGGTTTGCCCAGCTCACGGCCATGGCCCTTCCTCGGCCGAGACCGGCTGATCTTTTTACCCTACTTGAGGGCTTGCTTTGGCCTTCTTCAAAAGCTTTGGGCGGGGGTGCATCCCGCCCTGCTTGGGGGGGGGGGGGGCTCTGAGCCCTAACACACGACGGGGGGCGAGGGCCAGGAGCACGCCAGGGCAGGCGGGGAGGGCGGGGAGGCTGCGGGAAGCGGGGAGGGGAGCGAACCGCCGAGCTCTCACCTTGAAAAAGCCCTTGCAGCCCTCGCACGTCCGTACCCCGTAGTGCTGGCAGGCGGCATTGTCCCCGCAGACGGCGCAGGTGCCTTCCCCGGACGAGGAGCTCCGGCTGGGCGGCGACGGGAGGCCGCCGCCGCCGCTGCCGCTGCTCTCACCCATCAGGCTGGAGGTGGCTGCGTTGAGGCCGAGCGGTGAGAAGGCTAAGGTGGCTGGTCTTTTGGCCAGGTGGAGCCCGTAGGAATGGCTCTCCATGGGCGCCTGGCCGGCGGCGGGTCTGTCGGAGCCCAGGGGCAGGCTCAGGGAGGCAGGGTCGTAGCACATGTGGGCGGCCGCGGCCGGCGTGTGGGGGGGCGAGTGCTTGAAGTGGAAGAGGGGGAAGCGCGGGGGCACGGTCTTCATGGGGGCAGCCTCCATCAGGTGGCCGGGCGGCAGGCAGGTCTGCGTGGGCTGCAGCGGGGGCTCGTCCCACAGGCTCTGGTGAGAGGGGAAGCCGGGCGTGGTGGGCGTGGAGGGCGGAGATTGCTTGAAGTACATGGAAGTGCTGGGCATCCCCTCGTCCGTGGAGGGTGGCAGTGAGGGCTGGTACGGGGAGAGCCGGGTGTCTTCCATCTTGATGAGGGGCCTCTGGCCAGAGGAGGCAGATTGCATTTGGTAGAGGCAGGAAGGCTTGAGCTCATAGCTGCCGGAGTAACCCTCCATGAAGGTGCTGAAGCTGGGAAGGGAGGTGGTGGCAGTGGCAGTGATTTCGGTACTGCTCAGGTCCATGGTCAGCTTGGCATAGTCAGGGTTCATGATCTCCGAGCTGTACTCCGAGCCATACGCGTAGGTCTGAGCTGCATAATTCGAACCGGGCGGTGAAGGACTATACTGCGCTTGCACACAGGGCATATCTGCAAGGGCAAAGGGGGACGTTAACGACCGGCCCAGCGCGCCGCGGCCGCGGCCCAGACCCTCGCGAGCTTCCTTCCTACAAGCTTTCCCACGTTTCACGGAGCTCAGTCAGGCACCCGACTCCCACTCTCGCCTGGGCAGGGGACATATAAATTAGCCTCGAGTCTTTGCCTTTCAACAAGAAATATGCATCGGGGATCGACTAAGCATTAGGTATCAGGGAGCCTGCTCTCACCCTGTCGTGGGAGCAACTCAAATTTATACCAGTGTCAGTGAGAGAAGAATCTATCTCAAGCTGCCCTACATCTGCTGCTTAATATACATAGGTGTCAATGAGAATTAGATAAGCAGAATGAAAACAGTTTATGGCTCTAAATCTGTCTCTGTATGCATGCGGCCGTGCCATAAAATTTTCATGAAGGGTAAATGAGATTATCAAATGCATAATATTAAAAATTATATTTATTTTAAAAGAAACAGCATCTGCAGCGCATGTCAGAGGAACGACTCAAATCACAGTGTTTGCTGCTTAAGGACTTGCAAACCTCGATTCTGCTTACTCAACTCTGGGCCTTTGAAGCATATTTCTGGTCAGCTAATAATTTAAGGTTGCTGTCTAACTAGTAGTTTTAAGGCTTATCTGTGGTAGAACATTCTCCTAAAAAAAGTGGGTGGTACAACATATCCTTAAATTGGCAAAAATGTAAGAGAAAAAGAATGTGGCGTTTCTGTTTTTATGGGAAAGCAAGGTTTAGACTGCTAATAGAATTGTTTTTATCCATTAGTCATAAAAGTTAACGTGGTTCACTGATAGCTGGGATGGTTGAAGCAACACAGTGCCTGGCTATAAAGATTTTATTTTCTTTTTTTTCTTTCACTTTTTCTACTAGTCTCCTATTTCCTTTGCTGCTCACAGGAAATAAAGGACCCAATTCTGCAATCCATTAAAGGTTTGCCTGACTAAACACTGTGAGATTCTAGCCCAATATTTGCAACCCAAACTAAAAGTGTGTGGTGTATTTCAGTTTCACAGCAGAGCAATAAAATGCATCAATTGGTACAAATTCTCTCACAAAGAGAAAAGTAAACATGGAGAAAATGTATATCAAAATTAAGTGCAGTTCATCTCTTCTTAGTCATGGCAATTTATATTCCGAAAGCACTTGAGAAATAATTCGTACCAGGGAAAAAAAAAAAAAAAAAAAAAGCTGCGTGAAAAATAATGGGGGTTTCCTCACTATATTAAGAACTCTCTTCACTTACAATTTTAAAATTTGCACTTGAGCCTGGCATGCAGGAATCCAAATAATTTGTGTTAAATCAACTTTTAATTCTTTCCTGCTAGCTTTGCAGATAAACGTATTTGAGCTAAGCACCAGATTTCAATTATCATACTGTCACAAACCATTCAGATCTTTCTTCTTCTTGAGAAAACATTAAAAACTGAGGAAAAATAAATAGTGCTGTTTTCTGAAATTAAGGCTTTCCTGCTTGTAAATCCACACGCTTAAAGAAAAAAAGCAGGATAACCCTTTCACAAGCCTTGCCTCCCAGTGTTATTTATGCATTTTTCTACCGTTGTCTTTTTTTCCTATCAATTTCTGTCCATGCTATTCCATGCACACACATTTCATGGCAAGTTCTATTACTATCGTTTGTTAGTTCAAGGACCGTCTGTTAAAACTGAGTGATCAGTGCTCAATCAAATAAAAAGGGAAAGAAATTCCTTCCACACGCCTCCACTAAGAACTGTCTGAGGAACACAAGTGAGTGCCTGGACAGATAATGTCACAAGTGGACGTGTTGATACACAGCCCTGTGACGGAAAAAGGCTTTTTTTGCTAGCTCAGAAAATGAGCAGGAGTTGAGGGAAACAGATCACGATGCTTTCTTCCCTGCATTTTTCTGAGCAGAACAGGGTTATGTCACTAAATTCTGTGCAAAGTGGAGTAAGAAAACAGAAGTCTAAAATAAGTCTGACCTGAGGACAGAAAAAATATCTCTAACCTAAAGGTCTGGTCTCTCCTGGCTCTGCGGGACTCCTCCTACCTCGCCCTTTGCCAGCGCACTTGACTAATTCTAACCCCTACTTTTCCACTTAGGGCACCAATATTAACTATCCTGCAAAGTAAATAACCTGGGATTTTTTCTTCTTTACCCAACAATATTAAAAAAAAAAAGCCCCACAGGAGGCGCATTGAAGAGCAACCTGTCGTCAAAGCCCAAATGAATGGGGGAAAAAAAAAAAAAATCAGGGCAGGGACATTCAGAGCTTTTACCTTCTATTATTCTGCTGTCTTTGCAAGAGCTTGTCACAGGGGATGCCCGGTGCAACGCCAAGCGAGCCGCGCTCCTCACGGGGACACGAACATCCCACCCACCTCCCCCCTAACCCCGGCACATCTTTGGGTGGGCGGCGGGGCGGGGGGGCTCGCACCCCCCACGTGCCCAGGCACCGCACCGCTGCGGGCCCTGTGAAAGGGATTCTTTGGGGATTTAAACACCCGCGGCCGCGGTACGGGACGTCGGGGACCGCTGATGTCAAAGGGATGTGGGGCAGGGTAGGGGCCGCGGCAGCAGCTCCCGAACCCCATCCCTAACCCAATCCCCCCCTCCACCGCTTCCTCCTTCCTCCCTCCTCCTCCTCCTCTCCCGGGAGGAGCCGGGCCGCCCGGCCCCGCGGAGCGGCAGCTTACCTGGCGGGTATCTTGCGCGCTGAATGGTGGGGCTGGAGGTGCGGGCGGCGGCGGCGGCGGCGGCGGCGGGGGGCGGCGGGGTGGGGGCCGGCTGGGACCTCTCAGCGGAGACGGGTCTGGGGCCGGGCCTCGGCGGAGGGCGCTCTTCCGACCCGGGCTCTGTCCGCGGCGGCGGGAGGAGAAGGCAGAGTCAGGGGGGGCGGCGGTGCCCGGCGGGGTAGAGGGGTGACACCCCCCCTATTCTCCCTGCCTCCCCCACCCCACCCCCACCCCGGCCCCCCCTTGGCGGAGCGCCTCGGGGGGGACCCACGGCAAGCCCCCGCCTCGCCCCGCGGGTGGGAAGTGGGGAGCGGGCCGGGGAAGCGCGTTTCTGCCAGCTCCCGCTGCCTCGGCGCACAAAAGGCAGAAAGCACCGGGCTGGGACAACGGAGCCGCCGGTTTGTTCTCCGAGCGAGGAGCCTGGGGAAGGCAAGAGGAGAGCCCCGCGCGGGGGGACTACAATAAGCGGGGCAGCATCCCCCCGCGTCCACTTCCCCGCGGGAACTTTTTTTTTTTTTTTTTTTTTGAGAGGGGAGGGGGGGTGAGAGGGACCGGGGGGGGGGGGGAAGCAGGCTGGAAGTTTCTATGCAAGGCACCGGTCGGATTTGAGGGGTACCCGAGCAGCCCGGCTAAGCCCGTGGCGGCTCCGGGCGCCGCTCCCCGCGCGGTTCTGCCCCGCGGGACGCCCCGCGGCCACCGTCGCGGGCGCGGAGGAGGGAACGCGGCCCCGGCCAGCACGGCCGGGGGCTCCGCGGCAGCGCGGGGGATACGCGGCGGCGCCGGCCCCGGCCCACGGGAGCCGCTCCCCGGCGACTCCTTCTCCCTCTCCTCGTCTTTTTTTTTTTTTTTTTTTTTTTTTTTCCCTTCCCCGCGTCCCTCGCCTTTGATATTTCTTCCCCCTCCGCCTCGCTCCCGGGATGTTAAGTGACTGTCAGCTCATCCCTTTCTCTCCCGAGGGTTTTGTTCCCTCCCGAGCTCCTGCGAGGCGGCTTCCCGCTCGGCACGGAGCGCCCTGGGGCTCCTTCTCCCCCCCACGCCCCCCCGCGCCGCCGGTTACCTAGAGACACTCGCTGCGCTTTTAACCATGCAACACCCCTCCGGACTGCAGCCGCCCGAGCCAGGAGCGCAGAGCCATAAGGGCTGTAAATTAGGAGGAAATAACTACCCTTGTCAAAGCTCTTTTCTTCCTCCGTGCACTTTACATTCAGCCCCGAGTGACACCCCTCCCCACCCTGTAATACGAGGAGGAAACCGTGAAATACTCCATTGTGATTGTGACTTCTTCAGGCGAGTTTCGAAACCTTCATTTACCCGGGAGGGACCGCGGAGGGGGAAGCTCCATTGAATTAAAAAGTTTCGAGCTCGATTTCCACCGCCGGTTAGCTCGCGAGTTTTTTTTTTTTGGGGGGGGGGCATCGCCCCGAGCTGCACGGTCACTCCAGCAAATATCCACGAGCTCGCGTGAGATTCACCTCCGAAGAAACTGTCTGGTCTGGTTTAGTCCATTGTTTTTTACCGGGGCTTGACTCCAGCATACAACGGTCTCCACGGAGGAGAGAAAAATAGGGCGAAGAATGTAATCGAGTGAAGCGGCTTGGATAAAAGTTAGCGATTCATTCCCAAACTTTTTCTTTTTTTTCCCCTGGAGAAAAAAAATTCCGATCCCAACACACCAACCCCCCTCCAGAAAAAAAAAGCGTTTTCCGCCCTTTCCCTGGGAGAGATCCTCGCACGGAATCCATCGTCTCCGAAAATCGCAAGTTAAATAACAGCGTTATTCCCTAGCCGCGCGAAGGTGAGCCGCATCTCCGCCCGGGAAAGAGTATCGCGATAACGCCGTCCCGACAACCGTCCCCCGACATAGTACCGCGACCCAGCGCCCGCGCTTTCTCGCCTCTTTCCAAGACTGAAACTTCTCTCGCAGCTCTCGGGGCGAGCGGGGAAAGGCGGGCGGCGCGGCGGGGGCAGGGAGCGGGGAGCGGGGAGCGGGGAGCGGGGAGCGGGGCGCAGCCTCCCCGCCCGGCACCGCCCGTGCCGGGGCAGCGCAGCCCCTCGTTACCGCTCCTGACCTCCGAAGGGAAAAGAGCACATTTCCGAGGAGCAGCTGCCGGGCAAACGTGCCGAGCAAAGATCCCGTCTCATTTCAATACGAAATTGTCACATTCCGGCAATTACCTCTTGGGCGAGCTCCTTCGGGCTGCCGTGGGGGGCTGCACTCCCCCAAAGTGAGATTAGATCGACCTGCCCCGCCGTCCCTATTAGACAGCTCGAACTTGAGCAAACAAAACCACCTATTTCCCAAAGCGCGGCTCAAGGAAAGAGACAAATGACTGCCATTCATCACCGGCGCTGTAAACTCCCCGTCGCCGCCGGCAGCATCATTTCCATGACAACAACCAGCAGAAATACCTTAGTACCACGGGCTCCGGCTCCCGCTCCCCTCCACCGCGGCCCTCCCGTTTGCGGGGGGCTGCGGTGCCCCGGGCACGGCGGGGGGTGCCGAGCCGGCGGGGTGGCTCGGAAGCCGAGCGGCGAGTGAGCATCCACGGGGAGAAGGGCTGGGGGGGGGGGGGGGGGGCGGGTGGAGGGGGGGGGGAAGGGGGCGGGGGGGGGGGGGAAGGGTGGAGAAGAAGAGGGAAAAGTTTCAGCGAGAGCCCGGCGCGTCCGCCGGCATCTCCCGAGCATCGACCCCGGCGGCGCAACTTTGACGGAGTGGGGACACGTCGCGTTGTCCCTCTCCCTCAGCCGCTCCCGCTCGTTCGTATACGTACTCGGTTGCTGTGGAGGTTCCGTCTTTACATCTAGTTTGTAGGTGCCCGCTTCCTTAAAGGCGCATGTAGGCGCTGTCCAGCGGCAGGACCCGAGACACAAAACCCCGGAGACTCCCGGCGGCGGCAGGTCCGGAGGGTGCGTTATCCCGAGGCATGGAAAAGGGTTGCAAAAGCCTGAGGAGCCAGGAGCCCGTCCCCGGGCGGCGGGAGGGAGGGAAGGAGCGGGCGGGCGGGCGAGGGATGCCGAGCCGCCGCCGCCGCCGCGATGCGCCTGTGTGTGTGCCTGTGCGTGTTTTGTGCGTGTGCGTGTGTGTGTGTGCGCGGCGGGAGCCGGGCCGGGCCCTGCGGCCGCGTCCCCGGTGCGAGTGCCCCGGGGTGCGCGTGTGCCTGCGCGGAGAGAGGGGACGGAGGCGCCTCTCTGCGCTGCTCTCCCGCTCCCTCGCTCTGAACGTCATTTATGTGAGAGGAGCCCTAGCGGCCTCTCCATAGAGCGGCTGGAATGCGAAACGTCAATAGTGACGCCATGGGAGCCTGACGCTACTGACCCCCCCCCCCCCCCCCCCCTCCGCCCCAGTGTGTGCGCCGCGCCGCGCTCCCCGCCGCACCGCGCCGCGCCGCGCAGCGCAGCGCAGCACAGCCGCGCAGAGCCGCGCAGAGCCGCGCAGAGCCGCGCAGCCCGGGTGAGGCGGCCGCTCCACGCCGCCGGCAGCGGGATCGGGAGGCCGGGCGGCTCGGAGCCGGCTGCCCGGCACAGCCTGGCGAGTCGCTCCCAAGACAGATTAAATTATTATTATTATTATTATTATTATTATTATTATTATTATTATTATTATTATTATTATTATTATTATATTTATTATATTTATTTATTATTTATTATTTATTATTATTTATGATTATCGATCGTGGTGTGCTGTTTTGCAAACGCAGCAACTCTTTACTGAGCGGTTCAAGGGGAAAAGAGCTTTGCTTGGTTAACTAGTGGCACTTTCAGGATGAATTATTAAAGGATTTTTTTTTTCTTTTAGTTTTTCCCTTTATTCTTTTTGTATTTTTAAATTATTATTATTCTCCGTTTTTTACTTTTTTTGTTGTTGTTGTTCTTTTTTTTTTTTTTTCTCTTTTTCTTTTGAAACTTTCCAGTGCGCAGGAGCAAAGAGCAGGTTGCGGAAGGTGCCTCTCCGAGCGGGGGACTCGGCCGAGCGGCCCTGAGAAAGTCCGGGCTCCCGCCTGCGTGTGTCTGTCTGTCTTGTGTGTGTCCGTGTCCGTGTCACCGGCTGGGTCCCCCGCCGCCTCCCGCCGCCGTGCCCGGTGCTGTGTTTACTTCCGCTGCCGGCAGCCGGGCTCTTTGCGGTTGTCGCGGCGGCCGCTGCCGGGCTTGTGCTCCGCACGGCGCGGCCCCGCTACACCGCTTCTGCCGCCGGCGGCCGGGACGCTGCGGGACCGGGGCCGAGCGCGGCGCCCCGCTCCGCTCCGCGCCCGCCGCCCCGAGGAGGAGGGACCGGCGGGGGCGGCGCTTTCGCTTTGCCCTCCCGCTCCGCCGGCCCGGCACCGGCACCGCACGCTGCCCTCCGCGGGCGGCGGGGAGGGCGGGCTGCGGCCGGCGGGATCCCCTTCCCGAGGCGGCGGAGCGCGCCGTGCCGTCCCCCCCCCCCCGCGGGTGCGGGACCCCCGCTCCCCCCCCCGCGGGGACACACACACACGCGGGACGGGACACCCCGCCGGCCGCCGGGCTCCCCGCGCGGCGACACTTCCCCGCCGGCCGCCGCCAGCCCCCGGCGGGGCCAATCAGCGCCTCCACGTCACCGCGGAACGCCGTCCTCGTGCCGCCGCGGCCAATCCACGCACAGGACGCGGCGGGCCCCGTTCCGAGGGGCGGGGCTTAGCGGGCTGACGCACGGCAGCCGCGTCATTGACGCAAGCGGCGTTGCTAAATTTAGCAGCCGGGCCCCGTGCAGGGCGATCGGGATCGCGCGGGGGAGGGGGCGGAGCCGGAGCCCATTGAGCGGCGGCGGCGGCGGCGGGGCGGGCGGGCGCGCGGGGCTATTTTTGGGCCCCCCGGTTGTGATCCGGCCAAACCAAATATAGATGCGGGCGGGTATTTATAGCGCCGGCGAGTCCCATTGTCGTGGGGCCGCGCCCCCGCCCGCGCCCGGCTTCCTCTGCGCAGGGGGTGGGGTGCGGGGACCGCCCGCCCGCGGGGACCCCCACGCGCCCACGCAGACACCCCCCACGCCCCCCTACCTCCCCCACGTGCACCCCGACCCCCCACGGCTGCCCCTTGCGACTCTCCGGAGGGGGAAGGCGGCAGCCGGCTGCTGGCGGGGGGTGCCGACCCCGGTTCTTCTCCCCACACTCTCTTCCCCCAAACCCTCCCCCCTCAAAAAAAAAAAAACTCGCGCCGGGACGCTGCTGCGCTCCCCTCGGTGCAGCGTGCGCTGCTTTCCGCCCCCCATCCCATCCCTGCCCTCCCCCGGCGAACCACTTGACATCCCCGGGCCCGCTGCGGCCGGGGGGGGGTGGGGGGCGGCGGAGAAGCTGGAGCCAGGATACCTTCCCCTCCCCCCGCCCCGCCGGTGAGGGACACGCGTGGAAGCGCGGGGTGTTTCCGCGGCGGGGATGCCCCGCTCGGCCGCGGCGGGGATACCCCCTGCCTGACGCAACGGAGCGAAGCAGGGGCGGCGGCGGCGGCGGCGGCGGCGGGCGCGCATAGCGCGGCGGTGACCTCATGGCAGAAGCGGCGGCTGGTTGGGAGTCCTCCCCCCGCCCCCCCCCCCCCTTCCAAACCACCTCCCCACCCCCCCCTCCTCCCCTCCCCGCGTGTTGAGTAAGCGCCGGGAGAAGTGAAAATGCCATGACGGGCCGGTGCGCTCATCCCCGGTGCTGACACGCCGCGAGAAGGGAGATTCCCTTTGATGCCGCTGCCGGCGTGGGCGGCCGAGGGCAGGGGAGGAGAGAGGGTGGCACTTTCCGCCCGCCGCTCACCCCGGGCACCGGCCCTGATAAAAATACTCCGCTTTCCATGCTGTCATTTCTCCTTTGCATCTCGGCCTCTTTGCTGGGAAAGGGACCCCGCGGAGCGCGGCCGCCGCCCGGAGCCGGCCCCCTCGCCCCCTTTTTGGGGGGGTGGGGGTGGGGGGAGATCTACCCCCGGGGTATAAAGTCCCACCGTCATCCTGAAACTCGCAGCTCTGCGCTGAGAGTGTCTGCAAGCACAAAATATCGGTACCAGCTGAAGGGTCCCAGCAACCATATTGCCCCCCCCCCCTGCCCCCCCCCCCCCCCGCCACTTTTTCACCCCCTGGGTATTCCGTTAAACTTCGCAGCTTCCTCGAGCTGTTCCCATCTCCCGCAATGTGAAAATATCGTCATGCAAGAAGGCTATTAAAAAAAACAAACAAACAAACAAAAAAAAAAACAATAAAACCCACCCAAAACCGGTGGCAAGAGTGTTTTGAAAGCCTTTAAAATAATCTTCGAGGTGCTATTTAAAGAACTGCTATGCAGGAAATGGGATATTTGGAGAAAATGGTTAGAAAGTGGCTGGCATTGAGAGTGTTACGCATTTCGGGGAATTGCGGGTGCTGTGCAGGGAGTCGGGTGCTCGCTCACCGCCCGACCTAAGGCAGCAGTTTCCTCTGGGGAGAACACGGATTGCTATTCTGCAGTTACTTATGAAATGAGAGGTCACACATTATACTCTCTGTGCTTCCCAGGCGGTAAAAAGGAAGTCCTTCGTGCAAGGAGCTCCCAATCTTGGGATAAACACTGGGCTGGAGGGAGAGATAAGGGGACAGGAACAACAGGAGGCAAATTGTCTCACTGGTGTGTACATGTCAGCTTGATTCGCTGGAGGCGGTGGTGCAGGAGTGAGGGCCTGAAGGATGTCATTCTCGGGGCTTATTGGATAACTCGGGATAATCAAACCAGGCACTGGATGCTGTGCAACAAGGGGAGGAAGCCTTTAGCAATGTGAAGGAGGCCTTGGGAGAAATAAAGCTCCCAGAGTTGGGGAAGGTTGTTGGGGGACATTTGCAGGTGATGCCAGAGCTGGGGAGATGGAAGGCTGTGTGGGGGCCCTGGGAGCAAACAGTGTGGAGAGGCTGAGGGGTTCCCTTCCAGTGCCCATCCATGCATTTGCATTTACAGCCAAATAACTCGATGACGACTCCTTATCAGAATTTGCTGTTGACTTCTCCAAGACCGGAGCTTGTGCAGTCCAAGGCCAGTCTTTAGGCTGCAAACTGGGTCCAAGGCAATGAAAATGTCACTGCTTTTAGGCTTTTACTGCAGAATTTAAATACCGAAGTCAAAAACCACAATCCAGAAATCCTGACCAGCTGCCATCTCTCTGGAGGCATCTAAATTCAGTAGTGCCACAGAAGTGCTCTTTGGAAGGTCAACTAGTCCAACCTCCTACTCAAAGAGTATCCCCTCTGTATCACCTACAAATTCCCTGTCTTCCTCCACGATGTAGAAACCAACTGTTCCTCTGCCTTAATGCCACCTTCTAGAAAAACCCCAAAAGAAGAATCAGTTGGTGCACCCAAATAAAACGATAGCTGGGTAACTTCAGCACTTGCACGGAAAATAGGACAACCAAATGCACATAGTTTGTCTGGGGGAGGGGTGCGAGGGTGGGGATGGGGAAAGTCAACCTACATTCCCCACCTCCCAGGAGATTGCTGTAATCCCTGCATCGTTCTGGGTGGCATCTCACCCACCCGTTTGAAGTGGTGAAACCACTTTCAGGCTTGTGTGCAAGCACTGT